GGGGGGGGGGGGGGGGGGGGGGGGGGGGGGGGGGGGGGGGAAGAGAGGTGGGAATGACCAATTGTCATACGACGAATGGAAGTGTGAAGGGCGAGAGTGCAAGAACTGTTATTACCTTAGGCGATTGCATTCTTCTAACACGCATCAAAGGGTTTTGTCTTCTCAGAAGTATCGTAAGCAATTAATATTTAAAAATGATGAGTACTAATAGCAGGGGCCATTTTTATAGAATTCTAGTTAACACACTCAAAACATCAGCGAGGAATTCGGATTTAGACAGAACACTTGTTTGCAGAAGAGAAGTCCAGATCAACCGTACCAAAACAACCGATTGAAATCAAAAAACAAAAACCGAAAGAAATCAGTGCACACACAATTGCAAATCTTATTGCTTCACCTCAACAGGTATTTATTTTTTAATCAGTCGAAACTTCAAACTTATCGTACCTTCTCGAAATTCGGGAACTTTTCTATGCAATATTTGTCAAGCTTTTCATGCTCCATTCTGAAGTTCCCATTATTTTCTCATGTCACTGACCGTTAAATTTAAGGAAGTGGCCAAATGTGCTATCGAAAGTTGTTCCACTCAAAACAAACCAATTATCTCAAACGATATGCCACCAGTACTGAAAAAAGCAAAATATGAAGAGTGCAATGCAGTTGATTTACGGATTGAAAAGACGACGACTGCATCTTCAAATCGCTCCTCATCAGCCAGTCATGCGAACAGTCAAGATCGACGACCATACCAAAAACCTGCAGCTGGTGCTAGATTAAGTGGAGGCACAGCAGTGGAAAAGACTCGTAGCGTGTTGAAAGAAGCGTCTTTCTTTTGGCCTGAGGATCATCCGGATGCAAAACGGATCACCAACCAAGTACTTCAGTTTCTATCAGTCATCGTATTATTTCTTGTCTGCAATGATTCATTTATATTTTCATCGGTACTGGGAATTTTCTTCTGAGCATGAGTATTGCATTGTCTGAGGGCATTCTGTTAATGGCGACATCTTAAAGGTTGGTTTAATGCTTCTTCTTGACAACGAATCGCCAGCGGCTGTGGATCGTGCCGGTTTCAGAGGACTTTTGCGATTACTCGAACCAAAATATCGTATGCCATCAGCTGAAAAGTTCCAGAAAGTGATCATTCCACAAATTTTTAATCAACTAAAATCTGATCTAGTTGGCTTCCAGCAAAGCTTCTTCCAAAATAAGTTAGTTCCATTCTGCTGCTTTTCACATTTGTGATTCGAATATGACATTGAGCCGGAAAAGTATTTTCAAACTTATCGTGCGCAAAGATACTGTTCCGTTCCATTAGGAGGCGAATGCAATTACCTAAGGATCAGTGCAATTGACTATTGCGATAGTGAGAATAAATAATACCAAAGAAACTTAACAGTCCTTGTAAACGTGAATCATCGTGATAAATATGGAGATTAAATGCTGCTGTCCAGGTCTTAAGGTCATTATCAATAATACTAAAAATTGTAGTCCGTTTGGTGTGGACACATCTTCGAATGTTATCGATGCAAGCACTCTGGCGCAGTTCACAAAGCCAATGCTTCAGCAACATAAAAATGCACTTAACGTTCAGCCTGAACAGGTATTCTTTATTGTCATTCAATTTTATTGTAACGTTCTCGCCAGTGAGCAGTTTGTGTGTTGGTTAACATCGAAGTAAATTGTAAGAAACTGTACAGTTGCTGGTCTTCCGGAGAAGGGAATCATATGCAAAAAGAGTCGCAGTAAGAACAACTTGAATAAGAAGCGTACCTTATTCTTCCAACATGAACAAAAACGTGTTGGGATGGCGCGTAAAGATAAGATTGATTTTTAGATCGAGAAAGCGATTAAAACATCGATAAGATTACATACGCCATGTGTCAGAATCATTTCGAAATTCATTCATGATTACTAACAAATATTTCGTTCTATTCTTGTCAATATTTTGTAAGGGGGTGTAGGTTCATCGGGAAAGAAAGCGGTGACGGTGAATCTCTCGAATAGCAACCGTGGTAATTGTCTATCATAAGAAAATGACATAAGATCCAAATTTCAGTGTGAACTAGATCGTGTGGTGATCAATTCAATCCGCTCTGCACAAAATATCTCACAAAGTTTCTCACATAGTATTCAACTATGCGATGAAGAGTCTGAATCGAGCACAGATCCCGATTCAGTGCTTCTGTCGCGTATCGATACTTTTCTTGAACGAATCGGGAAGTATGTCTTCCCACAGGTTCGTTTTTTTGCTGCATCGATCTTGGCAAATGAATCTATTGAATCAAAACTAAGTCATTCACACACAAAAACGTGACAATACTTGAGGCATCACTATAAATGATTAGCAAATCAGAGGATCGAGGCAAGATCGAAAATTTCGGTGATTCTAAATGCTTCTAAACATCCGTGAATCTCTGATCTAATTATTTCGCTCTAATTTGCTAATTTACCGCTTGGATTTAGACAGAAGTGGTAGAACTGTTACGAAGATGTTATGGAATTGTACGTCATTTGGAGAACAGTCCGGAAGATGCGACGACAGTGTTAGGTGCGGCAATGAACGGTACGCAGAGTGCTGACCTATCGAAGTGCATTGAATTTGTGGCCAATAATCTAGCAGCTATACATGCGCTGCATTCTCATCGTCCGTTCACCAGCTCATTCAAGCCTTTCTCAAGCGAAGAGGCTCAGTTCCTTTCTGATCTCAATGCACATGTTTCATCCACTTTATAAACTTTCCCATCAACATATCCAATCACACCTACACTCATTCAATTAAACTCATATGCTCATTTGATATTCTTGTTTTTCACATCCTTGAACTGACTGAATTTCTTCTATCTGTTCCAAGAACCTCATCATATCTTATTAATTAAGCTATAGTTTACATATTCCACTCGTTACATTCACTATCTTCGATGTAACAGTTCTTTTGAGAATTCTCCTAGTTAGATGGTACATTTCAGTTTGCCGGAATGGTTGAGATCGAAAGTTATTTTGATAAAGTCTATTTCCTTTCGAACGATCATATTGTCAAGAGTGGTTTTCACCAAATATTCAGTTCAGGAAGTATTTCGTTCCTAACTCTGATCGAATTTCATTTCAAGTACTTGTGATCGCTTCTGATTGTGGTCACTCATACAAATTCCATCGTCATTGAAGCCATATNATCATTTCTTTATCACTTATTAGATGCTGTAAATAAATCAGCATAAATTGACTGATTGCATCTATCCCCTCACCTTCATAACAATCTTATCATCAATTTTGTTTCTTCTTCAATAAACTTACCACTATTTTTGTGGAGTTATGTATGCGAATAATGCCTCATTTGGTGTTGTCATAAGATACTCTCGAGTGTTTTCATTATTGGTCGCTTATTCACTTTTGATCCTAATACCCAATTTCATTGCCCAATACATAGCTGATAAGCACGAAACAGTTTCATTGTCGAATTAAGCGTCTTATAGAGATTACTGGAACCGTACTGAACGGATAGATTATCGGTATTCAAAAAGCACCCCTTTCAAGAGTCATACTCAAGGCAATATCCCCGTTTCCTGGGCTCGAGCGACAATCGCACTGTTTCGTGCAAACCAAATGTGCCTAATTACATCAAGTTTCGTCTGTAATCTGTAATCGCGTTAGGTAATCAATGCTAAGAAGTAATATGCTGTAGTGTTGATGTTAATCTGTTGATGTTACGCTAGTGTCTTCAGTCATAGAGATTACACTTTAATTGAATGCTTTAAAACCACGTATGATCATTCGTTTATTTCAACAACATCATACGATGTACATCTTTCGGTATCACCATATTCGTTTCTGTTCTTCAATAATCACGTTTGCCTTACGCATCATTACTGCTATCTCCTCGTTCCGAAGTGCGTTAAATATGTAATGCCTTGACTTATTTGTTGTTTTTTTAAATCACTTTATGTTTCAGCTACAGTTTTGTTTCGATGTTCCGTCTCTTGAATTGTTTCGCTTTATTTTC